ATAATAATGTTAATAATAATAATTGTATTTTGTAGTCTCTCATCTTCATGGAATTCATGGAGAATCTTTTGGTGGAAATGAGAATTGAGATACCTTTGAGGGGTACCAGAACCACTGAGTTATATGAGCAACTGGGCAACAGGACTCTAATGTTCTTATTGACTGGCCTTTTACTTTCACATTGCTGACGTTCTTTAAATGTTATACTTCCCCATGTGATATTTTCTCCCCTCAGAATGGTTGTATCTGTCATAACCATGGTAGTACTATGAATTGTAATGGATTTCACATAAGTAAAGCAGTATAGACTCAACATGCTGTTGAATTACTAAACAAAATTTATCTTGGTTTTAAGAGCATAAGAGCGTATTTCAAAGCGTAAGCACATTGACACTTACGAAATGAGAAAACAGTACAGTCAAGCTAGAAACACTGGGAATAATTTTGCTTTGTTTTTTTAATTCTCCCTAAGTAATTGGCACACAAAGCTGCCCTGCCCTGGCACGTGCATTTCTGAGTCCCAAGTCTTTCTGCCTCCCCTCTTTCTCAGGAAAGGAGTTAATTTACTTCAGCTCTCAAGAAAACACACCACATTTCACCTTATGGGCACAGCAGACTTCCACACCCCCTCACTGGCTCATCTCATTGTCCTAGTAATAATCTGACTGAAAACAATAGGATGAGGAAAAATAGTCTAACAAACAAGTGAATTTTCGTGACATTTTTGATTTACAGAAACATGGGGGAAGTAATAATTATTTAGATTACAATATGAGCATGTGATATGTGCAGAATATTTAGGCTGAAAAGTCTTTGAGAACTGAAGCTTGCCTCCAGACAGAGCTATGAGCTAAAGCTTGTATTTGCCACTTGTGTGTGAAATGCAGCTTTAATTATTATTCTTTCCTTTGTGACGGTGCTCTGCCGGATTTCATCCATCAGTTCTAGTTGAAATACTCTGTTCAGAATCCTCTAATGAAAGATACAAAACAAGTTGTCTAAAGTTGTCTCTAGTTGCAGCTCGGTAGAGGCAAGAACGTGGTTGTGCTGATGGTGATGCTATACGCTGTTAACTTACAGTGGTGCTGCCTTTCTTCTTTACCACTGCTTACCTAATGTGGATCCCACCTGCCTCCCTGCGGGCCTTGTCCATAGCCCTCAGGCAATGTTTGGGTGACCCATGAAGAAATGGAAAATCTTGCTGCTCCAGCTAAAACGGTTAGTCTTTCCACTTCCATTTAAACTGGTTTCAGTGCTCGAAAGAGAACTAGGATGTATCTGCTTTAATGCAGATGCTGTATCTTCTGCAGGACACTCCCCAAGCATGGCATTAGAAAGTCACAGGGAGTAGTGAAATTGAATTTAAAGAACAGTTACATCATTTCTCAGTAAAAGAAATTACAAACTGTATTGCGATCACAAAAATTCTGTGAACCTAAAACCAGTATTGGAGTTTTACAGTACATAATAGTTTCACTGCCAGTGTGAAACCTCATTTAGTGAAATGAAATTGTCATGTTTACAGGTGCAACATTTCCCTGTACTCTACTCCCTAGTACCTCTTCTAAACATAGTTTTGTATCTGCTGAAATAGAAAGAAATAAGAAAAGGCTTGAGAATGGTGCATTACACAACTCAGTGTTTCCATTAATGCTGGGTCTTTCATGTCCATACTTGTGTATTCATGCTTTTTGATTTAGGGTGCATGGAGAGTGTCATTTATCTATGGATTTTTGTCAAACCTCTCCCTGCTTTGGGGGGACATAAATAAATATTAATAGATTTTATTCAATAGTTCTGGCTTTTTTCTTTTACTTGGAACATATGTTACTTTAGGTGTTGTTTTTAGCATTATGTCATAACAACTCCATAACAGGGCTTATAAAACATGATACAATTCTACAGTGAGATGTCTGAAAAACCTATCCTCAGTTTGGAAAACTTTATAGTCAGCCCAATCCATAAATGGTGGGGGAGGTACTGAAGCTAAATTTTGAAGCAATAAAGACTTATTTCTTAGAAATTTATGCTTGCTATACTATTTTAAGTTTTCTCATGAACATTTGTGAAGCAGATTCTCATCAATAATTTTTTTTTTACAACTGAGCTCATTTTCAATTTTATTATTGTTGGTAACAACACTCAACTGACCAGAAGTAGAGTTGATCCTGTTTAACTGGCCAGCCAGAAAAATATAGTTTTGCCATTAAAAATGTTATATAAAAAGCTCCTTCACAATACATTCACAAGAAGACAGCTTTTTATTGTGAATGTTGCAAAATTTAACTAGAAACAAAAAATGGAATCTCTAATGCCCAATTTTGTAAGTAGACGGTTGTGTTTTGATTGTGAAACCATAAAAAGTGTAGAAGATAATGCTGTAAAGTTTCACCAAGCTATAATGATTTTATATCTTGAAAACTTAGCTAGATTTGTCCTACTAAGATTTTATGGTTTTGGCCTTGTAATTTTTAAGGTAGTTTAGCCCAGGGCATTGCCACTGACTGGAGTTATTTTATCGGCACATTTTACATGTATGTTTTCATTTGTACTAAGATAACATACACATGAAAATCACATCTTTTTATAACTTGTTTTTATTGTCTTTTTACCTGCTTTACTAATTGCTTCCTGCTGAAAGTCTGAAGAAGGCAGCTGGGCTCAGGTATGACCCTTTCACATAATTTTTTTGAACAGAAAGCTAATAATAATGTAATTAACAGTGTATCAATATGCATAGAGGAATATAGTATTGTGACAGTATCTCAATGATTGAATTATGATTTACACATTTTAGAGTTCTTCTAATACAAAGAAAATATTCTCTGGGCAGGTTTGCAAGGTAAAGCACAAAGAGGTACATATGCTGTAAATATTTTTCTTGAAAGAAATGGCTACATTCCAGAGACATCTTCTACCTCCCAGCTAAATCTAGAAAAAATATTTTCCTCATTTTTGATAATAGGCTAATAAAATATGCCAAGAGTTTGAGATCTAACATTTCTAAAATTACACCAGATTTTTTTTAGGACGATTTATAAATCACACCCAACTATCAGTCTACAAATAGCCTTGTATAATTAGGAACAAAATTTTTCACTTTAGTTAGACATTCAATTACTTGTATTTTTCAACTTCCTTCTTTCTCTCTAATATATGCACACTCTTACACAATCTTATTGTCTTTACTTATGGCATTCCTTTTCTCTTCAAAATCTCACAAGAATGAGAGATGATGGGACTATATTTTCCCCCATAGAAGATATATCTGGCTCACACTGTGTTATCCTTTTGTCTATAATGACAGGAGACATTAAAAACAAAACCAAAAAGATAGTTAGGCTTGAAAGTGATGCTCAAAGCTGAGCACAATCCAGTTGAGGAGATGTTAATCTTGCAATTTATGAGTTCACTTTTCTGTTAAGTTTTAATAGTACCAAAATAATTGACAATAGTGAGATGTAAAATTTATCAATATTTTGCATCTTAATTGTGCAACCCATATAAAAATAGCTCAACATGCATGTGGCATTTTTTTCATATACTTTCTTCCTCACCCTATTGAAATTTCAGCTGAACAATGAAGTAGCTTAATGCCTGAATGCTAGCTTCTGGGAGGAATCTGGTTTGCTCCTATCTTAAAGAATTAATTTACTGAGCTCTGCATATGATGCACTTAGGTTTAAGCTGTTCACAGATGAAAATATCTCATTAATAGAGTGTATTTGGTCACCTACTCTGACTGATGGTGAACATAAGCTTGGCTGACCAACAACTGAAATTAACTTTTAGTCTCAAAAGGACTACAGGTGTGTAACCATGAAGTGTCATTAGATCCCATTTAGGAAATCCTAGCCCCTACTAAACAGCGACACAAACTTCAGCTGATTCCCTGGGGCCATGTTTGTACTACCAAGTTCAGTGTAGGATTTGCCTAGCATAAATATTCTAGAAGGTCAATTGAAAGCAAGAAAGATTATGAAACAAACACATTTTGATTGTGTAATAAGTTTGCTTGCATTTAAAACTCAAAATTGAAACTACGATTTCTTATTACAAAAAAATTGCATAATATTTACAAAGATAGAAAACAAGACACAACAGGCAAAACTGCTATCAGTAACAAATATCTCACAGTGGTTTCCACCTCCAATGTCAAAACGATGTAAAAATTGAATGGTTTTTTTAGACAGGATTTTTAAACTAGGAAGTCTCACTAGAAACAAGCAGTCTGTGGTGCAACCTTGAACAAACTCAAGAATTTATTCCCCCTCGCCCTTTTTTTTCCCTGTAGACCCTGGCTTATGGTGATATGAACCACGAATGGATAGGTAACGAATGGCTCCCCAGTCTGGGTTTACCTCAGTACCGAAGTTATTTTATGGAATGCCTGGTAGATGCGAGGATGTTAGATCATCTGACAAAGAAAGATCTGCGTGTGCACTTAAAAATGGTGGATAGCTTTCATCGGTATGTTTGCATAAAGACTACATGTACAAAGACTTTTATGTGTCTGACGTAGTGCTCAGTGCTGCACAGAATAAAAACACTTAGTTTCTGTTGTTCTGGCTTGGAAAACCACACCGAAAAGTGAGTGTTAAGTGTCAGAAATCTGAATTGAGAGAGATTCCACATCCAGTAATTATGTCTCTCAAAACTAAGATACTGGTACAGATAAATTCCATAATGAGCAGGGAACCATTAATATATAAATAAAGCCTTGAGAATACAGAAACAATAATAATTTCTTAAGTGGTTTAAAGTATCAGAAAATGGTAGACTAAGATTTGAAGCCCTGAGATCTCATAATAATGAAAAGCTATTGTGTGTAGCACATAAAAGCTGTTAACGGTACAAGCAAATTGACAGTTGTTATCTAGGGATACAGCCAGGAAGCTAAATTGGAAATATGGAAATAAAGGCTTTTTTTAATGTACTGTCTGATTTGTCACTTTTTTGAGGCCTAATTTGACAAAACATTTCACGGCTCACAAGGGCTGACCTTTTCTGAATACAATTTTTAATATTTTGGGTCTCTTATGCTAGAACGTTTATTCCAACATACTCATTTTGGTTTTGTCCATTTCATTTTTGAAGTCTGTGGAGTTTTTTTAATGGTTTTGCTCTCCCCTCTGTCTTCAAGATTTGCTACATGGGCACCATGAAACACCTCATGTGAAATGCAGGAAATACATCTTACATATGTTCCCATCTTCAAAATTATCTTTATTAACTCTGTAAATGTTTCTCTTTAAATAACAGAACAAGCTTGCAATATGGAATCATGTGTTTAAAGAGGTTGAATTATGATAGAAAAGAACTGGAAAAGCGAAGAGAAATGAGTCAGCATGAAATAAAAGGTGATAGTTCCTGGGAATGAATACTGGGAATGTTTCTTCTTTTGAAGCTTGACACTATTAACCCCTTGTCACGCCATTTTAGCAAAGCATTTGAGCATGTGCTTTAAGTAAAACTAATGTAAGTCCATCTGTCTTCAGAACACAAAATATCTCCTTAAATTAGGCACAGTTAAGTACTTTGCTAAATTGGGGCTGCAATCCTGAATGGCGGTTTGATACGTACATTTTGCTAAATTGGATTTTGGGGACAGATCTTACCCTAGCCTCTTTCAGTCTCAGAAGCAGAAGGCCAGATAGCCAGTGGGACACGCTGGGGGCCACACTGGGAAATCGGAGCACTCAGGCCCCTAACACTGTGCTCCTGCTTTTGAAAACCTTTGCCTTTGATTTCTTACTTCAAAATGTGTATCATAGAAAATGTTGCTTGGAGGGGTGGCCACTGTGGCAGTTGATTGGTATACAAGAATAGTTCCTAACAGAACTGGCCTTATTAGAAGATTTAACAGCTGATTTAAAAGTATTTTTCTGTGTAAAGCTCTCCAGAGCAGTTGCAGGCTCACTGCACGGTTCCTTTTATATATAACTGCTAGGGGGCTTAGTTTTTTTCCATTATCAGAAGTGAATCCTTTGATTCCTTTAAGCATTTCCAGCTCTAGCAAATACAGCAGTTAACACTTCTCAAGCACAATGCTGATTGGAAGAGCTGAAAAAAAAAAGGGAATTAGAAGGAGGAATTGCTACAGTGAAAGCCGTGCGTTTGCTCAAGGCAAATGATGGCATGCACTAATGCAAAGACTTTAACTTGGATGTGGAGGCATCAGTGTCAGTCAGCCTGAGTGGTTATAGCTGGAGACTGATGTGCGGGGAATTGGGTATTGGTCTCAAATTCTGGTGTTGCTTCAATGCTAGTCACCGCTAGGACAAGGGTAATAACCCATAGCCTCTTTCACCCAACCTTCACCCTGCTGTGCATCAGTCAGTTAGACACGGTCCCAGGTGGGATTTGGTCTCAGTGATCCCTGGCTGCCATGCTGTGTTTCAGCCAATCCTGACCCCAAAATCTGGGATGCTCTTGGTCAGACGATGGAGAATGCCTGCTCCCAGAACAGCTACATTACCTGGACTTCTAAGGGTTCAGGAAAAAGCCTCATCACTTAGTAACACAAAACTCAATATTACATTTCCCACTCACAAGTATAAAGATCAGTATAAGTAACTTCCTTTTAATCGTATGGGCAGGGTAGAATACTTTTTTTATAATAGCCAAATCCTCAAAAATGGTTTCCTAGCTCGTTTTGTTGCCTTAGCTTTATAATTGGCATGGACCTTAACAGCTCAACCATCTTTCTGAACTAAAAATAGTTTTAGTCTCTAAAATTGTGAACTCATCGTTTGCTGTATGGCATGTTATAAAATGGTAGCTGACCCGACTCTCAAAATGTTCAATACAAAACTCTCCAGTGAAGCCTTTAGGAACGGATAATTCTCCTGTGCCCTTGCACTGTTGAACTGTAAAATCTTGCCTAAGAATTGAAAAGGGTATCTATAGGAGGTGGGAGGAATTGCATTCTGGAATGCCCTCTGGAGGCACCTTTCTCCTTTGGAAACATTATTTAGAGTAAACATTTAACTTGAAGGTAAAATCGCACAGTTGCTCCCACACCTTGGGTTTTGAATAGGAGATATTGAAGCCATTAAAGCTATATGAATAGTTTGCTGGCATTCCTCATTTAAGAAATGAAGCAGTATGACGTCCACAGTGCATGCACAACCTGTGTAGTTCAAAGTTATCGGGTATCAGGAGACTGACCCGGTGTTATGTCCTTACAGATGTGCTGGTATGGAGCAATGATCGAGTCATACGCTGGATACAAGCTATTGGCCTCCGAGAATATGCAAATAATATTCTAGAAAGTGGTGTACATGGTTCACTTATAGCACTGGATGAAAACTTTGATTACAGCAGTTTAGCTTTATTATTACAGATTCCAACACAAAACACCCAGGCAAGTTTGCTCCTGCTACTTCTGGTTAATCTGTACCCATTATTGCCTTTTATTCCTCTTCAATCATTTTAATTTTTTACTTTGGTATCTCTAGGCACGGCAGATCCTTGAGAGAGAATACAACAACCTTTTAGCACTAGGAACTGAAAGACGACTTGAGGAAGTAATTAATTTTATTTTCAGTATTTATAAAATCACAGTAAAATATAAAAAAGAAATTGAATGCATGAAGACATGTTAATTCTCACATTGTTAAAAAGATTGAGTTACAGCTTTAAGAAAAAATTAAAGGATGCCAGTCAAGGTTTTTAAAGTAACCTCAGTATGGCTACATATTCATATCATTTTGGATGCTAAATTTGGCACTGCGCTCTTACCTTAAGATGAACATTTTCCATAGAGGAAACATGCAGAAAGGAGTGGAAGTTTCACTGGCCAGAGCAAGTGGTGGTAGGGGGGATGCCTGTACAATCTATTCTTTAGGACACTTACATCCTTTCTTTAAAAATGAAGAAAGAAGAAGTGGATTTTTGGTGTTTGGGGTTTTTTTTCCGGTTCTTCAAAGTTCATCAATATGTAATAGAGTGGGATTTGGGGCAGTTATCTAGGATGGGGAATCTCAAATCCACCTGTGGAAAATATTCATCTTAAGGTAAGAGTCCAGTGCAAAAATGTTCAAGTCTTGGACACGTGAGGAAAAATAAAACATGAGGAAGTCTTCCTGCACGTGAAGAAGAATAAAACTTTTAAGGACTTGCTGAAAATGTGAGATGCCTATGAATTCTGTGCATGCACATGAGTGCTTAATTCTTTATTAGCACTTTACGTAAGCTTCCGAATGCAGTAACAAACCACTGCACTTTCTGTCACTGTACTTGGAAGAGATCTGACTTTTATGAACGTTCTACTTTAGCTAATACTAAAGCCCTCTACTATATCAATCCAGAGATTTAAGAAAAGTTTTCCACCCTAGCATTTAATATTTCTAAAGCATTTACTTTTACAAGAGTGTCTCAAATGCCTTGAATTACTGGATGCAGTGCAACAGAACAGGGTAGTTGTGGAATACGTTTGACAGTGGGAGAGGCAGCAGACAGCAGGATAATTAATCAAAAAATTTCATTTTGCTTTATCAAATCCAACTCTGTGTGTTGACAGAGCGACGACAAGAACTTCAGACGTGGCCCATCCTGGCGACGACAGTTTCCTCCGCGTGAGGTTCACGGGATCAGCATGATGCCGGGCTCCTCGGAAACACTGCCAGCTGGGTTCAGATTAACCACAACATCAGGGCAGTCGCGGAAGATGGCGACTGATGGTATGCAGTCATTTCTGCACTTACTGTTGAAAAGCAAGAGGCTTATTCTAGCATGCTAAATTGACTTTTAGTGCATGTCTGCCTTCCACCAGAGTGGCTGCATTCGTGTAACTAGGGTGAACGGAGTCTGGGAGAGTTGAATTAGGGAATGGAAAAGCACTGACTTCGCATACTATTGATTTTTTCAGGTTTGCTTCAGACTGTCAGTGTTTATTTGAGGAAAAAAAAAAAAGGCAATCTAGTCATCCTAGATCTGCAAAGGAAACATTTAGAAAGAGAGGAATTAATTTACTGACTTTCAGCTAAGATTGCATATAATATCTAAGCAAAATTTTCAGCTCATTAGCCTCTCTAGCAGGTGGAGTCTGTTTAGAGAATGAACTTAGAAAGGGCCATCACCTTTATTTTCCTATTTGACTTTCAAACTGACTAGCTTAGCCTTGACTATCAAATAACTCAAGTTGGTAACAATTAATAACAATCAGATGGGTAGTGTAGTTAGCAAATACTGAATTTCAGGTACTAATCGAGTTACTGTATATCAGTCTTAATTTTCTCTGGAAATCTTTTAATTTCCAAAAGATGCACTAACTCAGCAATGATTGGAAAAGTAACAAGCAGATCATAATTAAAAAATAAGTAAAATTTAAAAATCATTGTAAGAGGGCAGGGAGAAGGGACAAATCCCATTGCAGCTATTCCTTCTGGTATATGGATGATAAAACCATGTATACGTGCCTGAAGTTCTGAGAAGTACACAGATTGGCCCGTTTCAATACTGCCGTTTATTTCCTCATGACAGAATTTAGGTCTATGAATAGACTTGTCTCAAAGTAATTTAATACACTGCTTGTAGTGATTACATTCTGTAACTCTTGAATGAACTTAGTATGACAATATTGCCATCTAAATTCCATTAAAGCCATCTAAATTCCATTAAAGTTTATCACCTTTAAAAACAATACTTTATAGTTGCAGTTACAGATGGAATAATTTACTGATTGCATCACTGAATTCCATTGACTCCACTGCTCATGTACACGCTTTGCTTTTAATCCTGCACTTTTTGGCAATGATGAAGCTGTAAGACAAGAATCCATTCCAAGGCAAATTCCATGTACAAATAAAGGTACTAGCTCCCTAGGCATTTCCATGGCCCACATTACTGTAGTAGCTAAGAACCTTACAAATATTCATGGATTTCATCTTCTAGCCAAGCTATGATGTAGAAGATACTATTCCCATTTTACAGATGGGGAACTAAGGCACAAGGGAGATTTAGTGATTTACTTGAGGTCTTCCAGACAGTTTATTATTGAGCTGAGTACTGAACTCAGTAGACTTAAAGACCTACATCTTCATCCAGGATTTGGTGTCCTATCTCCCAGTCCTAAGACTGCTATAGTATTTAAATGGCGTGATAGGTACAGTATTAGGACTTCCAACAAAACAAAGACAAAATTGAGTTTTAAACTGTATTCACTTAAGACAGATTTCAATAGTACACCATACATGAAGAAACTCAGAGTTCTCAACTAGGCCATGCCCAGATCATGTCATAGAAAGCCACAGAGCAATTTAATAGCTACCCTTCCAGTGGGAAACAGACTGATTTATTTTCTTCATGATTCTAAAGAGGTTTTGGTTTGTTTCTTTTTTTTGCAATTTGCAGTTGCTTCATCACGACTGCAGAGGTTAGACAGCTCAACAGTTCGCACATACTCATGCTGACAAGGCCTAGCAAAGAAGCCAGCACTGAATTGTTGTGAGTATTCATAAGGGACCATCATGAAAGCTCTTTATAACTGTACACTACACCCAATATTCCTTGGCATTATTCAAGCAAGAGCCAGCATGGAGCAGAGGACCTAACTCAGACTCACTAGCGTGGTCATTTGATCACAACAGTGTCAAGCTCAGTCCAAGAGATGCTACACTATTCTTTTCCCCATCTCAAACAGCAGGTTCTTTCTGCTGAAACCACTTCAGCTGATGATAAGACAAAAGTTTTTAGACAACTCTGTTCAGATGATAGCTCACCAACCATAACGTATTTTGTACGCTCTGAAACTTAAAGCTCGAATTGGAGAGACAGCAGTAGGCACAGGGAGTGAATTTACTTTATGAGAACTTGAAGTAGTTCTACCAGAAGCTAGGGAGAAAGGAAAAAAAAAAAAGCTAGTAAAGCAGAAGAGATTTACCTTTTTGTTTGTTTTTTTTTTTTTTAAATAGAGATATGGCTCCATTTAGAACATCAGGTAGCTGCATAAAGCTAGAACAAAACTTCCCCTATACAGAAAATCTTCCAAAGTTATCTATTACGGAGATTCTTGCACTTCTCAAATCATTCAGAATCCACCAGTGGCAATGGAAGGATATTCTGAGCCGGATGCAACTTTGGATCAAATCTAGTACTGGAATTCATGTTGCATTTCTCACCACTTATCTTTTGAACATGGCTATGAATCTCACAGGTTCACTCTTCCAGAGTTCTGCGGAAATACACTGTTTTCTGCTACATCACAAGTTTTGCAAAAAATACTAACATGATGATCGCTTTCATCAATATGGCACCATTTCATGCTATTATTTTCTCAGTAAAACAGTTTTGTTTTCCATTTAGTAACTCAGGGGATTGTACGGGAGCTGGAAAGAATATTTGGATAGCACCAAAACCTCAGCAGGCATTAAATATGCTTTGATAGCTGTTACACATTGTAGGGAAGACATGCCAGGATCTGCAAGAAAGTCGTTTTTTTAGATTCCCAAGATTGGGAGAGGCTTGGGGCCATCGAGATTTTACTCATTCTGGGCATGTTCAAAAAGTGCTTAGGAACAACAAATGTTACCAGTGGAAAACGTAGATTGCTCAGGATCCTACTGATGACATGAGCCTTACTTCACAGATCTTCAGGAGACTGCAAGAGTATAAAATCTTAATCTAGTAGAAAAGGGAACTTTTCATGCCACCACTGAAAAATAAGCACAGGAGATTTTTTTTTTTTTTAAAACAGGTAAGTTTAGCAGCTGGTCATACAAAGATGATGATGAAGCATGTAAACTATATAAATCTTTTCATGTGTATGTATATATAGATTAGAGCTTGCTGTTATGTCAGTAAAGTCAATGACAGTACTCTCACTGGGTTCAGTGGGGGTAGAACTGATAGCAGAGACGCATATCTTTTCTCCTATATGCTTCAGAATTACAATGTTGAAAGCAATAAAGTATGATCAAGAAATTAAATTCAAACACCAAGCTATTAGGCCAACAATAGTGGGCCAGGCACATGAGGTGATATTTTCCAATAGGTTTGAAGAGTACAACGCGGGCAGAAATTGAAAATTGGTATGTTAACAAAAATTAACTTCAGATTATCCAAATTTTTTATTCCCACTGTATTCAAAAACTGTCTAAAAATTAGCAATCCACAAACAGAAGTAAAGTAGCAAACTTTGCTGGCACTATATGTATATGGGAGTTACGTATTTTGAGCAAAAAGATATTTATACAAAGTTATACAAGCCATACAAGTTAACTTCAATTTCTATAGGAGTATTAATAGTGTTTCAAGTATCGGTGATACGTATCACATTGGTACTTGCTGCTTGTCCATTAGTCTGCCAATTACATTCTAATCTTAAATGCTTGAGAGCTTGAAGAATATCGAATTTCCATCTAAATTGTAAAGTCTAATATATGAGGATGACTGACACTAATATACGACTATTTCTTTTCACTTACCATATACTCCTTTTAGAGAAGCAACAAGATGGTGTGAACTAGAACTTTTGTATATGCACTGTTCATAAGTGCAATTTCAAAATGTCATGCAGGTTAGAAACCAAGGAGCAAGTTAAAATAATTTTGGATTTCAGTAAAGCATGTAAGAAATATGCAGGGAAAAGATTTCCTTCATTATTATATCAAACTTGAAAACTTAAACAAATTACCTGAATCTCAAGGATGCACGCATAAACAAAAACTGCTCATACGGGGGATGTGAAGTTGGTTGAAGGGCAACAGAATAGTTTTCAGAATTTTGTGATCACCGATCCTGTGTAACAGTTTCTTCATGGAAGGAACTGCTTGATACTTGGACAGAAGGGAAGATTATTCATTACAGCATGCCTGCTGAAATTTTCCAGATCCAGATCCGACTGAGACCCAGGCTTGTAACACCTTGTCTAGAATACATCAGTAGCTGTGTTACTCTGGTGACTAAACTGTCTGCATGCATCGAATCAGGGACTGATTCTAACTAAGAAGCAGAGGGGATGGATAGCGGGATGAGCTATCATACAACAGCAATATAAGAGAATTTTTTTAATATTAAAGGGGAATATGCATATGAAGAGCAAACTGAAAAGAGAGCTGCAAATGGGCTGCATGTGGAACAAATGAGATGGCCTGTGATCACAGCAGGCTGCAGATTCTTGCATTCTGCTACTCACCTTTCTTACAGAGAATGTCAAAGCCTTGTGTTTCAAAATAGTTTACACCAACAATACCAATTAGGTACAACCTTACAGTGTCTTAGGGTGTTTCTTCACAACAGCTGGGTTCAATTCACATGCTTTCAAGCTGCATTTCAGGTATTTTTTTAAAACATTTGTTGAAACCACCGTGACAAGCTGCCAGAAACCATGAACTGACATTCTCAGAACAGTTACATGAGCGTACTCTGTGCAGCGCAGTTTGAGTGCACTCTCAAGATCAGAAGTTTAAGAACATTTAAAACTGCTGGTGTCTGGCCATTTAATCTTGCAAAGAAGTTTACCACAGAGCACACAGGACAGGTCAAGCTCTCTGCTGTGGTGGCTGTATGGTGCCCATTACACAGCCAGTGGATTTGGCAGTGACACTGACTAAGCTTTCCCAACACTTTTCTCTTACGAAATACTTGTCACCACCAAGACAGAAGGCTCAGCCAGGACAGTTTTGTTGCCACAGGCTGGGGCAATAGAACATACTAGTTTCACTTTTCTTCTAAGGAAATGTCAAAGGGGATTTGGTAAAATCGACTATGCACTTTATCAATGAAGCGTTCCAAAGAGGATTTGTAAAGACAGATGGAGGAGAAGAGTTCCAAAAAGATGGGAATGATAATCTGGAAACAGCTAGTCCATAGCAAAGAAATCGTCAGGGTGGAAAAAGGTAAATGCTATCAAGCGGCAGTGAACAAGGAGAATGAGAGAGTGTATCAACAAGGTCTATACGCTTAAAATGTGTGTTCATCCTTCTGCCAAACAGGCAAAAGTCTACAGATGCAGGAAACTAACCCCACTGCTGAATCAAAACATCAAGAAAACAACTGTAAAATGAACGTAAGCAGGAGTTTGTTTCAATCTAGGACAAGAATCAGTATACATTAGTAAAGATTAAAATGCATTAATAGATTTCTGTTGCAGATCTAAAACAACAAATGCGTGTCTCCCTCAGATACTCAAAACTCATGTTTTAGTAAACCATGCAATAGATTACTTAGTGCTATAATATTTTCTGGTGTCATTGCATCCTAGACCAAATTAGAGTCAAAGAATCTCACTAATTAATGTTTGTTTATTTTTTCCCTTAGATGTCATCTCTTTCTTCTACTTTACCTGAAGTGCACTACCACTACTTAGGAAAAAGAGCATTAAAACTCTCTGCAAGAACAGGGTAATAGGGAAGAGAACACATAAGGTATATCAGACAAACAGATACAATGTTCCTTTCATGTATTGATTAGTTTAAAATGAGTAAAAAAATACCTAAATTACTATTAAAAAAAGAAAAACAAAACAACCTCCCCCTTTCCTCTCAGCATCTCTGTCATCAGAAATTTGGCAGTAGTGCACATCCAAAGCTTTTATCAAATGAAGCCACTCATTTTTACATTGTTCCATCTGTTTTATTGTAAAATACTAGACATTTACGTATTTACTGTGTATGTATTTCTTTTAAAACGTGTAAGTCTTATGTAAATGGATATAAATATGATTTTTTAAAAATAAAATCTATGGTACATGGGGTCTCAGTGCAAACATTTGACAATACAGTGTCAATAATACTGTTTGTATCTTTCCATTACACCATTTTTACAGTTTTTGGATTGTAACAGTCAAATGAATATGTTTAGCAGAGTTAGAAGCTTCAACATGTTCCTACTGAGAAAATCTGTCAATATTTAAAGCTGAACACCTGCCTCTGATGATGTATAATAGAACGACATAACCTGGAACTGGAGCCAAAATGGACCTCTAAAGACAAAATGGAAATGTCAGATATCTATAGAGAAGCACCATAATGGCTCACCTCTTAACAAATAAACCCAGAAGAACTGTTTACAAAAAAAAAAAAAAAAAAAAAGTAATTTAATAAAATGTGATTTATACAAAAAACAAAAACTTTCTTCTACGTTACCTGCGGACCAAGAAGAATCTTGCTTTACCAAGAGCCACCTTTTCGTTCCAGGATCTTCAGACACCAGCCAGCATTGGAAAAATTAAATCTAATATTTGCATAGAATCAGATTCTCGTTTCCAGATATATTCAACAAAGAAAATGAAAGAAAAGAGAAGCCAAACCCCACCATTTCTTCATTATAACAGGGCATTAGACAGGCTCCTGTCTAACGTTATGCTTTTAGCCAAGATGGCCTTGCTGAGACTTCACAGAAGTCAGTTTTATCAGAGGAAATAACTGAAAGACAGAGTGATTAATATATAGTGTATAAAAGTTTAGAAGAGCAACTATTACCTGCTGTGGCTTTATTTGGTGGTGTTATTGTTGTTTATTCTTTGTTTAAATGGGAAGTTTCAAAGTAAGACCTACTTAATAGTCATTTACCTATTTGCTATTTTTCTGCTGCTTGATCTTAGCTCAAGACCTGTCTTTTAGTTATTTCTTTTAGCAGTTTGAGCTGCAATGTTTGCACGTACATAAACATTTGTTTTGTCTATTTTCATTTGGCAAACTTCAGTCAATCAGATGGTGAAAGATTTTTCTCCCCCAATGTCAATAAAAAAGAATTCAGTGCTATTTGTGTTTATAAGTCTATTAAGCTTGGTACATAGTAGCATTAAAATAGTTGGATGCCAGATACTTCTCATAGCTAAGCATAAGCACATTTTGCCACTAACAGGTATGAGTTACGACGGATTTACTGCCACGAGAGGGAGCACTGAACTTGCTGATGGGTGCGAGACGATGGCTTGGGTTAGCACACAACTGTATAAAGACACGGCTCTTTTACGTACAGTTCCTCGGGCTTAACCGACATCGTTGCTGATGTTCCTTCTTCTCCTCCCTCAGCCTCCTTTTGGATTATTTTAGTCCGGAATGTCACGAAGTAAAGCAATATAAACACCATTTTCAGTGGTTGCAGTATCATTTGAATACACTTCCCCTTGTAAGTGCCAGCTCCCATTGTACAGAATTTCTTTTTCAGCCCACATTGTCACAGCTCATGCTCAAATTCAGGGGACAGAGGGGAATGAGGTGTGTTGGGGAAAAGAATGAGCAAGATCTTGCGACCAAAGCTGCAGGTATCCTGCCCTAGGAGTACAGCACCCCCAAAATATTTCTTTCCATAGTGGAAGAATTAAAAAAGAGTATTATTGTGACTTCAGTTTTGATCTAAGGCTAACATATAAAATCTCCTAGTACATCCCTGTCTCCCCCATACGAGCTGAAGCTCTACTCTCATCAGCTAGAAACTCTGGCTATGCTAAACGTTGTCTTGTTGACTCCGACCCTTTCAGCACACTGGGAATAATTATTATATCAACCTCTTCCAGCTAAGTTTCAATAACTCCCTGACTATTCAAATCTACCCACGTGCTGCTTCTCTCTAAAAACAAAATTAAGAAAATCACTTCTCATATGGGCTTGTTCTTCCTTGACAGTATAACCAGGTTGCTGGGCAGCACCAGAGCTGTGCACAAGAATGACTACTCCTTCTCCCTTTCACCAGCTTGGCACAAAGCTAAAGCTGTAGACAAACCATTCTGCAATCACAGCTCCTCAGCAAAAGGCTCCTCTGGAAAACAAAAGCAATGCCTGTGAAACAACTACTTTCCATACTGTACTGCTGCAATAAGGCGGCTTTCTTTGTCTGGGTTTTCTGAATGCTGAGGAATGAGATATTTGGCATTTCTGGAATCCTCCACAGTACCAGGGTGGTAGCAGAGTGACTACACCTGACCACTCTGCCCCTCTCTTTTATCCCAGTCTTGATCTTAAATGATTACCACCAAAACAGAAAAAAAGAGAAAAAAAGAAAAAAAGAAAGAACATTAAAAAAAAAAATCTCAGGCTTCCTCAGAAAGCAGAAATAAGTTATTACAAACATCTTTGTCACGGAGACACTTTAAGAATGTTAACTATTCAAGCTCTTCACAAACAGTTCAGATGACAGATAATTGTTTCTTGTCAATATTAACATGAGCAAATAGCCCCTCAGAAAGGTAAGTGCCTAAATATCCATTACTAACGTTTTTGGGTTTTGGGGTTTTTTTTAAAGAAGTCTGATATTAATTCTCTCTTCCTTAAAAAAAAGAGACCCAAACTAGAAAACAGGTTACCTTTCCTTACAAGTGGAGAAACTCGTGTAGGAACATGAGATATCATTGGGAAAACTATACAAGATCTAGGAAATTAATTCTCCTTTCCTACATCCTATTGCAGTATCTTTACCAGAGGGCTTGTGCTCTCACTAATTAGTTCCCCTCCCCTGCTTCTGCAATTAAAACATGATGGCTGCACGGGGATAACTACATCAAACATACAAAACTTAACGTCTCGGCTTTCATTGTACAAAAAAAGTAATGGCCATGCACCTCGTGAATGTGCCACAGTTTCTCTGTGGTAACACCCTTGTAGTTTCTCACTGATGTTAAAAAACCCATCAGTGACAACTCCCAAGATCTCTCTCTTGCCCTGCAGCTGTTCAGCATAGGTTGCAAAGTTGTAGCATTGTGAAACTGAGAAATACTCAGCAGTCTCTGCAAGGCACTCCATTATTCGGCATGGGCCTCCTATTACAGCCTTGGTACTTGAATAATCTGTCCAGAAGAAAATAATATCTTCAACTAACTGCAAATTCTATAAGAAGTATTTCAAGAAAGTTATCAGGACATCTCTGAGGAGCAAAATTACTCCCACATATAAATCACTAACCTGTATAGTTAGCATATCTACCATAAAGCATCATTAGCCTTTACTCAGTCTTTAAATGCTTTTACTCCCTGTTCAGATTGTGATTTTGAACTAAATCAGATACCTGAGTAGGGTGGCTACCTTATGCAATTACTTGGCAAAAAACAAGTACAGCACAGACTGAAACTAGCCTGGTTTATTATATGACTGTATGACCTGGTTCAACACCTGGTTGGCTCGGCTGCGTGCAGTCCCTAGTGAAAAAACACTGGGACTTTTTATTTATTTCCTATGGCACTGGTAGAGGTCATTGGCTCTACAAAAAGGTCACAGGCACAAGGCAACATTGGGGTATGGCTCATGTTAATTAGCATCTATCTATCACCTTTTAGCTCCTACATCAATCTGCTGGTTTATTTTATCCCTTAATAGGGCTATCATCCTTATCTCTACCCAATGGGAGATAACAGTATTTCTGGACTCCTTTGAGGACACATTGCCATAGCAGAATATGTCTAGACTTAACTTCTACCTTAGCTTGGCCTAAGTACGGAACCTCTCTTTTACACCAACATCATCTGAATTTGCATATTGCTTACTGTTTCTTCCTCTGGAAAGCATTGCCGAGTTTGAGTAACATCTCTGCTTTTAAACTTTTCTGTGAACATATATTTTAAAAAGGATTTCTACATTTATTGTTCAATTAAAAACCTGCAGCTTGAGAAGTAATGCATGTAGAGAACGTATCCTCCATCCCCTGGTTTGTTGAGAATCCTGTAAGTATTTTGAAATGGCCTATAAAGTCAATAATGGGATCCCTAGTACCTGTATTTGCTAAATTTCTTGGTTATATATATCTCAGCGAGCCTGAAACATCTAATTATGTCCGCAAAAGCACATTCTGGTTATCCTCATCATAAATGATACAAACCACAACAACAAAATTATCAGAAAATGCAAAGGGTATATGCCTGCCTTTATTTAAAATACATGGTTGTTATTGAATATTACTATGGACAAATCAAGATTTTCACAGATTTGAAAGCCAGAAATTATCTATCATTCTACAAAAAAGACACTTCAGAAAGTTATTGAGTAAAAAAATTATAGGAATCTAATTTATAGCAGAAAGACTTAGAAAAAAAAATCAGTGGAATCAAGAAAACTAATTTTAAAATTTTAAAATTTATAAAAATTTAAAAGACATAAAGGCTCCTAATTTACAAGTGAGGACAATTTATGTCTGCAATAATTTTCACATTAGAATTCCTATTTATTGCTGTCCTCAGTTCATGACTTACCTTTTGTAAGCTGTTTTAGCCAAACTCAAGTTACTGGTCACATTATACAATAATGGATTGAAATGTAAGGTTACGTGATATCATATGAGATAGATAATCCAGTGACTCCTTCCCTTTACGGCTATAGAAATGTATGAATTCTATTTGCAATTCTTAGCAATCTTAATATCCAGCATATAATGACAACACGCAGAGACTTTAGTATGCTTCATTGGCTGTGACAGTATGGTAAAAAACACAGAAACATTTCTGAAGTAAAAAAATTTAGTCCCAAATCATTACTAGTTTTTAAAGTGTGGTATTTCCTAACAGAAAATCTCTTTGTATACTTCAGTAACTGACACATTTGTTACCAACGTATTATCCCATTTAATTTTTCTTTAGCACTTCTTCAATGTGTTTAAACAGGCTAGCATCTTCAATGGTTGGTGTTATCTGAAAAGGAAGAATATACAGAAGCATGTGATAGTAGATTGCGGTTCTTCAACAGCAAAACAGTTTCATTCAGAGAATCTTCTAAATCCAGCCTTCAAAAGCGATCACGAAAAAGTATCTGGAAAGCTCTGGAACATGAAAATCTTTTGGGTAAGCTACAGTAGAAATAAAATATAATGTACTACCCGATGTCATGGACCAGTTGCAGAACGGTCTAGAGAATCGAAACCATGATTTTGTGTCTTTGGATGTGCAGGTGTGCCTAATTCATTAAAGCATACATCTCCAACTTACCTTATACGGCTTTCCACTGACAAGTGCCGAAAGAGCTGAACGTGGTATCTTGCCAGAGCGTGTTTTTGGTAGCTGTTTCACAAACACCCCCTTCTGGAAAGCTGCTACTGGACCAATGTTAGTTCTAACTCGCTCAACAATCTCTTCCAAAATCTTCTCCTGTTCTGTCTTTATACCTAGTGAAGAAATTCATGTCCTTCAACCTTTCTGGGACTTTTGCAAGTCTTAGTAACATCAGTAGCAGCGAGTCCTCACCTTCTCTCAGCACACACAGCGCAAATGGAACATGTCCTTTTAAAGGATCCTCCTGGCCCACAACAGCACAGTCTGCCACAGCGTGATGGAAGAGAACACACTGAGGGACAGAAAACAAAACCAAACAGAAGTAATAATAACTGAACATTTCAGTGAAAAAATTCCATAGGCATGGACATAAAAAATAGACTTATTTCTTATATTTTTACAGCAAAAGGTATTTAGTCAGTACACCTCAGAATTCCAATTATACACATGTTGCAGATGCACATGTGTGTATACTTTCATACACACTTACGTGTAGTTTTCAAACAAACCTAAGAAATACATCTACGGCAGCCCGAGATTCAAATATAGCACAAAGCAAAGGTGATTTCCTTACAGCTTTGGGAGAGTATCACATCTTTGTTTTTGTTAGTGAGATCTTTGCTGGAACAAATAACATTAGTCTACGAAGAACATGGAGTTAAGTGTGTGGAGTAAGGACCAAAACCACAGAAGCACTCCTACTACAGGGCTATAAAGTCATATTGGTTCATTCTCTCTCGCTCCTCCTATTTTTTTCATTTTTTGCTGCACAAAGGCATAGTTTCAACC